AGTAAAGACAAATGGAGATGAGAAGAACAGCAAAGGACCTAAATGTTGCAAGGTGGCAACAAGCACCCTCCTTCGCCGATAATAGTTGGAAATGAAAGAGAAGGACTTTGGCTACCATAATTTTTGACGATAGACAAAGTAAATAGTAATCAATAAGGCTAAGCAAAAGGCAACATGCAGCAGGGAAGGGTGAGAACAGAAATCTAGACCTCTTACAAACAACATATGGTGTGCTCACTTGCAACCATGTCAATGCCATTAAAGATGGTGGAGAAATGAAGGAGAATGAGGAGAAAAACAGAGGACAAAGTTTCTGAATGTCTAGAATTCTCTCTGTCTTTGGAAGTTTGAAAAAGAAATGAATCCAGGAGAAGAAAATAAAGCTGAAGGAGTTGAGAGCATAATGGTAATTTCGTAAAGCTAAAATAAAAAAATAATAAACTCTTTCTTTGCATCATAAGAATCAAACTTGTGACCTAATATAATGGGTCTCAATATAACTCTTACTAAACGAACACTCTCTTGATATATTTGTTCCAAGAATAATAAAAATACAATCAAATTAGCTAAGCATAAATTTTATTTGACTAAAGTTTCTGGGTTATTATAATAGGCCGGCCTGTTTGGCTCGTAGGCTAGGCCTTGAAAAAATAAGCCTGATCTATTTAATTCAACAAGCTTAATTAAAGACCTGAACTTAACCTAAGTCTATTTAGTAAATAGGCTAAGTTAAGCCTGAAGTAGGTTATAGTGTAGGTCCCTGGCCTATTCTTACCCCTAATTTCCAATTCCCTTATACCCCAAATTTAAAAGTTAAAGCTTAATTATCTTTCTTTCTCCCTCCAATTTAATACAAGACCTTTTTAAAAAGTTTTACTTAATTAATTAGTTAAAAATAAAAGATATTGAGTTTTTTTATAATTTTTTAAGGATTAAAAGTAAAAATATCCTACAACTTTTTATGGACATTATCGTTAAATTACCTGCTTTGACCAATAAAATCACACGTGGTCCTGAGTGGGATAAAAAGGATAATCCACGGGGACCAAAAGAAGTGACTTAAAAACCTGAGGACCCAACGTCAATGATTCCCAACATCGCGAACCAGAACGCATGAGAAAATAAACTGACGATCAAAAGAAATATGAAATTCTAACAAGTAGATGAGGTCACACAAGAAATCACAAGGAGCAGGATTTTTATCTTTTCGAAGAAAATAAATTGATGGTCAGACAAAAAAATGTGAAACAGAAGTTATGTGTCACGAGCCCACTTGAGGAAGTAACTCAAAATGTGAGACCGCCTACTGAGGAGAATAGAAGAGGAAGCCCAATACAGGGGACAAATCAGGAGATGGGCCGTAATCCTATAAGTCCAATAGTGGTGAGACGAAGCAAACGTGTGAGACGCCTCACGTGGAAGCTGAGGGCTCTGGCAAACAGTGAGGTTATGTGATGCACGTCAGGTGAGAAGAATGACTTGCATGATTCCTTTCTGACAACTTTCTCTCTCTTCCTGGGCAGAATGTTTTCTGCATTTCTTCTGCAAACTCTTTTCCGTTATGTTTTCTGTTATGATTTTCCTGTAATTAAAGCTGAACGTATTGATTCTGTTATATACGTGAGCTCATTTCTGCGTTTTCAAGTTTTGGTTATATTTGCATTAACATCCGTGACATCATGGCGGCATGAAAGAAATCACAACAAGCGAAAGGATATTTTTTTCTTTCATCAACAGAAATTTCAAAAAAAAAATGTTATAAATGCACAGAAATCATGATTTTTTCAAATCTCATTAGTGAATTCTCAAATGGCGCTTTTTGTTAAACAATCAATTCTCAAGTGGAGTTTCATGTTTTCATAATATATGTTAGAAATTTTTCTAAATTAGGTTAGTGAATTTTCAAATTGTGCTTTTTATTAAACAATCAATTTTTAAGTGGAGTTTCATATTTTCACAATATACGTTAGCAATTTTCTTAAGTTAGGTTAGTGAATTTTCAAGTGACGTTAGTGAATCCCACCTCACAAACTATATTTTTTTTATCTCAATTAAAGATCATGATCCTTAATTAAAATTTCAAAATGTTATAGTCCTTAATTGGGATTAATGTTTTTAGAGAGTCCTTAATTGTCATTTTTTCTTTTATATATTGGCCATGTGGAAAGCAAATTCTGTAAAATACAAAGCTCTATGGTATCTTGGTTTCTATAGTAGCCTCTAAATCTGCCTTTAGCACAGGAGGTCATGCGATTCATGAATTCTGAATGAAGCTCATTGTCTCCTAGAATGACTCAAGCTCCTACTTGTTTCGAAAATTGGCAATCACTGTCAGCTGTACTCATTGATAAGCTTTGTGAACTTGACAATTTTGAAGAGACCGATAGTGTTGTCTTCCTCTTGCCTGGTAATGTTTTTACAGTAATGAGTCTTTGTTTTACTTTACCATTTCCTCAATGTGACTAATTCTTCATGATTTTCAGATGCTTCATGTCTGATTGATTTGATGGTGAAAATGAGATGTTTATGTGAATGGAAGTTGATTAAAGTAAAGATGGAGATGATATTATGATGCTGCAACTGTCATTAAGTTCCATATACCTTGTTATGATTTAATTCAGTTCACAATGACATGTTCTTTTAACATTAAACCATTGTACAAGTAATTTGGTGTTCGTTGGGCTTGGGGATATTATCTTGATAATTTGGTTTTGTTGTTGGCTTCAGGCCTGTTCGAACTTGGAACTTGAAATGTAGTTGGCTTGTTAATTATGAAGTGTTTGGCACGTTTCATTATGGATGCATGTTTGTTAAATAGATTAATTTGGTCGCTGTCTCTGGAATTTCATAATTGCAGGAATATATATCTTATTTACTTTCTGGTTGAAGATGATAACGATTTTATTGCAGCGAGTTTGATTACAAAGCCTTCAAGTTGTTTTTATGTGTCCTGCCCCATTGTTATTATTTTCATGCTATTTTCAGGTTATTTTACTTCATATATATTTATATTATTGTCTCAACTATTAGGTTCTAATTTCTATCAATTTGTGTTTAGAATTATGTAATCATGTTGATTGAATCATTATGTTCATAAAATGTAGAAGAATTTTTTTCTTTTAAAAAAAGGAGCCAGATGAGTGAATCATCGTAGCTATAACTAGAATCAAAAGAATCATCATCATCGATCATCATCCGTAGGATTTCCAACAAATGAGTGAATCAAAAATAATGATTCAGGGGAAACAAATGTAGCATGTACCTGTCACATATTGTCTTCCAACATCATGAGAAAGTTCATTTTTTAATGAACTAAAGTATTTTAGCTTGAAAAATTAGAAACACAGATATCAAATCAGATTTTGTTTAAACAACATTTCTTGAAATTGTTCCAAATACATTGTCTGACTTAAAAGTGACATAAATATGGGGCACAACAAAAATATTAAAGAAAACACTACGATAAAACAAAATATATATGTATACTTAGATTGATAAAGCAGAGAAAATTAAAATGAACGTGACAGTTGCAGTCTTATTCAATATAAAGAATTTGATTTCCTCCGCACAATCTAATGTGCAAGTTCAAGAATTGCGATTGAGCAAGTTCAAGAATTACAATGGTCACAAATGAAACTCTGTGATCTTCTATCTCACTATCTATATGAAGGGAAGTGATTTATATATATCCTCGTTCTGTTTGGTTATATGTTTCGTGGACAACATGATTTGTGGTTAACAAACCTGTTTATTTGCATTGTTGTCCTCTGTTTCTCAGACTCAAATTCATGTATCTTTGCTTCCATAGCACATATGAATGATCCATTGGCTTAGAATTTGAGTAACATGGGGAAGCCATAATCCAGAAAATTCTGGTATCACACCATACTCTATGTTCATTGACCTCTCTGTTTTTTAATCCTTGTTATTCTTACTCTGTTTACGTTTGTTATTGAAAAATAGCCTTATGCTACCAGTTTTCAACACCAGAGACAGAGCATACCCTTCAGCATAAACTTGTGATGTAGGCAACAAGTGTTAATTTTAACTTTATAAAGTGTTATTTGTCTATGAAGACAACAAATTAAATTAAGCAAACAAGTATCCAAATTAAAAGAATATAAATGAAAATACCATCCAAATTTTTTTCTGATTGCATGCAATGCATCGTAAGTTATGTGGAAATGAACGATTATTTTGTAACACCAATTCTCAAGTAGTGTATAAATTGTAAGAATAATGATCCTCATCATCTGTGTCTTCGCTTTATCATCGCAATTGACGTGGACTATACCAAAGAATGACTCACAGAAAAACATGCAGGGTGTGTCCAAAAAAAAAAAAAACATTTCATATTGTAATAGTGCCAAAACTTATATAGCAGCTACATCTTTTCTAAAAGAAAATGGATGAGGAGATCGCATATAAATAAGTTCAAAATTCAAAATAAACAAAAAATTTTGTAAGTTGCACAATAGAAAGATATCACACAATCAACGAAGAAAATAGAAAATACCACGAAAATTGATCTAAAGTCAAATATGGGTAGTTGTGGATAGTATAAAGGGAGATTCACATCCCGAATCTCTGAAGAAAATTATTCACAAATAATGATCAATAATAAATCATCATTCAGGAAAAAAAAACATATTCTTATAACCATTTTAATAATAAACAATTTTATATTAGTCATTGTTTGCAAATAATTTTTTTAGGACTTCCTTGATGTGATTCTCCCTAGTATAAATATGCATATCAGTCTACGGAGCTTTGAAGAGTAGTGCAGTTGAGTGTGGCTTGGCAGAATGAAAATTTATTCCGTTTTATAAAAGAAAAGAAAGAAAATTAATCAAATTACATGAGAATTAAAATAATACATACATATATATATATATATATTTTATTTTTTTAAGCTAATTGTCATGAGAAAGTGTCAACATTTTTGTAGAAATTTCGGCAGAATCTTTCCTATAATTAAGATCTCCCAAAAATTCTACAACAGAAATTTTTACAAATAATGGTATAAATCAGGAGCATAGCTCCTTTCAGCTAGCAACCAATGTACAAACCAAAATAAAGTCTATCAACAATCTATGTGGAGCATCTACTCTTTCTTTTAAACCAAAAAGACATACAATTTATATATTTACATTAAAAGTAACAATACCACTCAAAAATTTTCACCCACTGTAGCTAATTTGCCCTTCAAAGGTCAAGGGGGATCAACGTCAACTAACAAATCTGAGACCAAAATAAGTTTTCCAGTAAATAGCATTCCCATGGTAAAATTCTTAAAATTTAAATCAACAAACTCTAATAATGGTTTCAACTAATTAAAAATAATTCCAAAAAAATATATAAACTTGTAAGTCATAACCATAATTGTAAAATATAAGTAAGTTAAAAATAATTTATGTTATCATGCTTAAAGAAAATGATTTACTCACATATAACTCAAAGTGGTAAAATTGCTAGCGAAAATCATGTAAAATTCAAAAACACATTAATCAACATTTAAAATTTTGAGAACTCAACAGAACAGATTACAAACGTGGACACACAGTCCACGAAAGTAAATAACCAAGCGCAGCTTATACCATAAAAACAAACATGGACACCTAGTCTATAAGGGTAAGTAACCAAACGCAGCTGAAGCTACGAAACAAACGTGGACACACAGTCCACGAAGGTAAATAACCAAACACGGCTCAGGCCACGAAATCAAATGTGGGTACAAAGCCCACGAATACCAAACGTGAGAACACAACTCACGAACCAAACTAACTAGTGTTTAACCACAGTGCGCTACAGGCAAACGGAACTGCCGTTAGCAGCAGTGTTCTGTTTAGAGTCCTCTCAAAAATCACGTTTCAAACATGCAAGAAGAATAACTATTTCTGAAATACAATCTGCGTTTTCAATACCAAACTCGCATGAATCATTTTAAATTTCAATTTAAAACTTGTTAAAAATAGTCTTTCATAAAATAATATACAAGCTTGCATTATCTAAACAATCAAGGATTTCAAGAGTTTAATAAACCAACTAATTTCATAAATCTTTGAAACATATTCCTTAAGGAAATAAATGCATATATCATCCTTTAACCATCCTGCATTGATATTTCAAAGTTTCAAAACTAATGTAACTCACAAGAATAAAATATCTCAATGAAAATCTATTAAAATAAAAATACTAATAAAAATAAATTAAAGGGAATGCTATTCACTTACACGTTGGAGTTTTAAATTCTCGAAAGTATTTTTCTTTTAATTATTGTCAGAGTCTTGTTTTTCCACACACCCTATAAAATATAAATATATACAATTTTAATAACTTTTTAATTTATAACACAATCTCTATCAACCACCATCTAAAATTCAAAACCAAATTTATAATTTAAAGTTAGTTCAAGCATTATCATTCATTTCTCTAACTTCCTTCATAAAACTTTAGCCATGCCATTCTATTTTCTTAAAATAGAAGTTTTCTCCCAATCTTTGCACCACTTACCTTAGGTGCATTACTTCTACTTCTTCAATTTAAAACCTTCAACAATTTATCAAAAATCAAACAAACTCCAAATATATAAATAACTGCATGCAAGCCCATAATTAAATTCTTTTATAGATCTACAGGTGAATTCCTAAACTAATAATTTCCATCACTATTTAAAAGTTAAATTTTATTTACTCATACAAGCCCTTCAATGGCATCTCATAGACACCAACAATATATCTAAGCTTGTCTCTTTCGATTTCACCTTAATAAATTTTTTAACATCAACCAAATCAACAAAATTAATTTAACTCTAAAATTATGACCCATATGTATCACCATCATTTTTTGATACTAATGCATATTTATTTTATTTCTTTTTTTTTTTCCTTCGGTCATGGACAGCAACAAAACACACACACAAATTTTATAATTTCAGTCATCAATCAACTCTCTCTCTCTCGCACAGGTTCACCAAGAAGGAATCCTTAAGATTCTCACCTCAATCACCAATAATAGCAGAGGCAACGAAGGAGACAGAACCTACAGCGAAACAGGGGAGAGATTCAAACGTAACCCACGCAAGAGGAAGAAGAACTGAACTAATCAAACTAGACCAAGAAGCAACAGATCCGCAAGAAATACCTTAGATCAGCGATTCAGCTCTCATTCCACCCACTACTCAAACCCACACAAGAATGGCAAGCCAGCACAAGGAGCGACGAAGCCCACCAGAGACAGAAACGATGAAGAACCTGCTGGCAAGGTGGCAACAACTACCACTAACGCCGGCGAGACGAGGAATGAATGAGAAAGGGAAGTCGGTGATGGCACTCCAGATTTCTCTCTCTCTCTCTCTCTCTCTCTCTCTCTGCGCGAAATCGGGACTGGATAAGGAGAAGGGAAAGAGAAAAATATAAATCTGATGAAGGGAAGGGTATATTGGTAATTTTGTAAAGCTGAAATTATAAAATGAACCCCCGATTTTTTTTTTTAATTCTTGGTTATTAGTTATTACATTCATCAAATAAAAAAACAATAATTAATGAGGGAGTATTGTCGTATCCTTTTGGCTATATATTATACGCTAATTCCAATGTCTTTTTTTATATATATTTTCTGACATTTATAGGCTGAGATGGACCCTTGTGATACAAATGAAGTATCAGCAGCAGAATGTTCACATCGCAACCACCTCTGGTTTACTGCGTAATTTGTTTTATAAAAAGCCAAAAAAATGAAAAAAAAATGAAAAACTCAAAAAAAAAATTGTAGTTTTCACAGCTTCAATGGTTGGATGTTTGGGATTGTGAATCAATTATAGAAATAGTGGTCCAAGGAAGACGAAGATGATCATTCTACAATTACTTCCAAGCCTAGCATTCTTATTTCACTTTAAAATTCACATATTTCTCTACAGCACATATATGTGTCATAAAAAGGTAAACATTGATTACCAATTTCATTATCTCTCTCTTTCACATTTCTGTTAACAATAGAAATAATTACTATAACCTTAAAATTTGACTTCCCATCATATGATTCTCTGTGGCCTGGCCTGTTTTAACGTTCAAGATATATTACATGTGATATTGGTCCCAACTTATTGGCCATATAACATATGTCCACTCTTGTAGGCTACAATGGGCTCTACTGATGCAATTGGAGGAGGCCGATTAGAATGATCACGTCACATCCGCTTTAGTTGATTGCAGTGTTTTATAATGCCAGAGGGGGGGGGGGGGACCAAAAAAAGGAGGGGAAAAAATGGTGTGTAATCGTGCTATGTACGTAATATTTCGTGTGCTTTCATTAAAAAAACCAAAAAAAGTTTGTGTGCTATTATCTAAGGAACCTAGGGCTAACTCATGATGAAATCCCTCCATATGCTGAATTTTATATAAGGAAAATGACAATTAAGAATTTCAATTAAGGATCGTAATATTTTAAAATTTTAGTTAAGAACCATGGTTCTTAATTGAGATAAAAAAATATAGTTTGTAAGATAGGATTCACTAACACCACTTGAGAATTTACTAACCCAACTTAAAAAAATTGCTAATGTATTATGAAAACATGAAACCCTATTTGAGAATTTATTGTTTAATAAAAAGCGCCATTTAAAAATTTACTAACCCAACTTAAAAAAAATTTTAATGTATATTGCGAAAACATGAAACTCTACTTGGGAATCTATTGTTTAACAAAAAAACCTCAATTTGGACAAGTCACTTTTTGTTAAACAATCAATTCTCAAGTGGGGTTTTATTTTTTCACAATATACGTTAGAAATTTTTTCAAGTCTGGTTAGTGAATTCTCAAGTAGCGTTTTTTGTTAAACAATCAATTTTCAAGTGGAGTTTCATGTTTTCACAATATATATTAAAAATTTTATTAAGTCGGGTTAGTAAATTTTCAAGTCGCACTTTTTATTAAACAATTGATTTTCAAGTGGGGTTTCATGTTTTTATAATATATGTTAGCAATTTTCTTAAGTTGGGTTAGTGAATCCTCAAGTGACGTTAGTGAATCTTACCTCACAAACTATATTTTTTTTATCTCAATTAAAGACCATGGTCCTTAACTGAGATTTTAAAATGTTATGGTCCTTAATTGAAATTACTGTTCTTAGAGGGTCCTTAATTGTCATTTTTCCTTTTATATATTGGCCACGTGGAAAGCAAATTCTGTAAAATACAAAGCTCTATGGTATCTTGGTTTCTATAGTAGCCTCTAAATCTGCCTTTAGTACAGGAGGTTATGCGATTCATGAATTCTGAATGAAGCTCATTGTCTCCTAGAATGACTCAAGCTCCTACTTGTTCCAAAAATTGGCAATCACTGTCAGCTGTACTCATTGATAAGCTTTGTGAACTTGACAATTTTGAAGAGACCGATAGTGTTGTCCTCCTCTGGCCTGGTAATGTTTTTACAGTAATGAGTCTTTGTTTTATTTTACCATTTCCTCAATGTGACTAATTCTTCATGTTTTTCAGATGCTTCATGTCTGATTGATTTGATGGTGGAAATGAGATGTTTATGTGAATGGAAGTTGATTAAAGTAAAGATGGAGATGATATTATGATGCTGCAACTGTCATTATGTTCTATATATTTTGTTATGATTTAATTCAGTTCACAATGATATGTTCTTTTAACATTGAACTATTGTACAAGTAATTTGGTGTTCGTTGGGCTTGGGGATATAATCTTGATAATTTGGTTTTGTTGTTGGCTTGTTAGTTATGAAGTGTTTGACACATTTCATTATGGATGCATTTTTGTTAAATAGATTAATTTGGTCGCTGTCTCTGGAATTTCATAATTGCAGGAATATATATCTTATTTAATTTCTGGTTGAAGATGATAACGATTTTATTGCAGTGAGTTTGATTACAAAGCCTTCAAGTTATTTTATATGTCCTGCCCCATTGTTGTTATTTTCATGCTATTTTCAGGTTATTTTACTTCATATATATTTATATTATTGTCTCAACTATTAGCTTCTAATTTCTACCAATTTGTCTTTAGAATTATGTAATCATGTTGATTGAATCATTATGTTCATAAAATGTAAAAGAATTTTTTTCTTTTAAAAAAAGGAGCCAGATGAGTGAATCATCGTAGCTATAACTAGAATCAAAAGAATCATCATCATCGATCATCATCTGTAGGATTTCCAACAAATGAGTGAATCAAAAATAATGATTCAGGGGAAACAAATGCAGCATGTACCTGTCACATATTGTCTTCCAACATCATGAGACAGTTCATTTTTTAATTAACCAAAGTATTTTAGCTTGAAAAATTAGAAACACAGATATCAAATCAGATTTTGTTTAAACAACATTTCTTGAAATTGTTCCAAATACATTGTCTGGCTTAAAAGTGACATAAATGTGGGGCACAGCAAAAATATTAAAGAAAACACTACCATAAAACAAAATATATATGTATACTTAGATTGATAAAGCAGAGAAAATTAAAATAGACGTGACAGTTGCAGTCTTATTCAATATAAAGAATTTGATTTCCTCTGCACAATCTTATGTCTGAAGCTTCTTCAAATTGTGATTGAGCAAGTTCAAGAATTACAATGGTCACAAATGAAACTCTGTGACCTTCTATCTCACTATCTATGTGAAGGGAAGTGATTTATATATATTCTCGTTCTGTTTTGTTATATGTTTCGTGGACAACGTGATTTGTGGTTAACAAACCTGTTTATTTACTTTGTTGTCCTGTGTTTCTCAGACTCAAATTCATGTATCTTTGCTTCCATAGCACATATGAATGATCCATTGGCTTAGAATTTGAGTAACATGGGGAAACCATAATCCAGAAAATTTGGGTATCACACCATACTCTATGTTCATTGATCTCTCTGTTTTTTTTAATCGTTGTTATTCTCACTCTGTTTACGTTTGTTATTGAAAAATAGCCTTATGCTACCAGTTTTCAACACCAGAAGCAGAGCATCCCCTTCAGCATAAACTTGTGATGTAGGCAACAAGTGTTAATTTTAACTTTATAAAGTATTATTTGTCTATGAAGACAACAAATTAAATTTAAGCAAACAAGTATCTAAATTAAAAGAATATAAATGAAAATACCATCCAAATTTTTTCTGATTGCATGCAATGCATCGTAATTTATGTGGAAATGAACGTTATTTTGTAACACCAATTCTCAAATATTGTATAAATTGTAAGAGTAATGATCCTCATCATCTGTGTCTTCGCTTTATCATCGTAATTGCCGTGGGCTATACCAAAGAATGACCCAGAGAAAAACATGCAGGGTGTGTCGAAAAAAAAAAAAAAGACATTTCATGCTGTAATAGTGCCAAAACTTATATACCAGCTACATCTTTTCTAAAACAAAATGGATGAGGAGATCGCATATAAATAAATTCAAAATTCAAAATAAACAAAAAAATTTGTAAGTTGCACAATAGAAAGATATCACACAAGCAAGGAAGAAAATAGAAAATACGAAGAAAATTGATCTAATGTCAAATATGGATAGTTGTGGATAGTATAAAGGGAGATTCACATCCTAAATCTCCCAAGAAAATTATTCATAGAAAATGACCAACAATAAATCATCATTCAGGAAAAGAAAACAAATCCTTGTAACCATTTTAATAATAAACAATTTTACATTGGCCATTGTCTGCAAATAATTTTTTTGGGAGTTCCTTGATGTGATTCTCCCTAATATAGATATGCGCATCAGTCTATGGAGCTTTGAAGAGCAGAGCAGCTGAGTGTGGTTTTGGAGAAGATGAGGCAATCTTCAACACCAAAATAGCTTAAGCCTTTTCTTCTTGTTTGGGCTTGTATATTTTTAAGTCCTTTTTTTATTTTTTTCATTTTTTTGTCTTTCATTCTTTCATTGTTTTTCTGTTTTTTTTTAATCTCTTATTTAGATAATCCCTAAATTTATATATTTATAATCTATCTTATAATCTTTTGATGTGAGACTTTTTTTTATTTTCTAATCCTTAAGAATTGTCCTACCTAAATTAATCTAATATTAATCTGATATCAGAACTTTGTCCTCTGTTTTTGAATGTGTAACTCATATATCTTATCTTTTTGTCAAAATATATTTGGACTCAGTTACCACACAGAATTAAATAGCACATCAAATGATTTCATCATGATCCATTGGCTTAGAATTTGAGTAACATATAGGGACCTACCCTGTCTTCATTGATCTCTTTGCTTTTAATCCTTGTTATTCTTGATCTGTTTAGCAGTATATTCAAGTTTCGTGGACAAGAGAACAAAACATAAAAATTATTTTATTCAAGAAAGCAATTATGCTTAGTTTAGTCACCTAATTAATTGACTTCCTCTTT